GGGGGTGGGGGGGGGGCTACTATACCGGGAACAACAAACATCCACAACAACAACAACAACAACAACAACAACAACAATAACAACAACAAACAATCATCATTACCTCACAGCCACAGCAACAGAAACATATTGCAGACGGAAACACCTTCTTGGTAGAAAATTGCCAATATACTCAAGACATCGCAGGCGCAAGGCAAAACTCTTACAGGGTTGAAGGCCGTTCCCAGTCGAAGTCCAACTTGAAGTTCAGCCCCCACATGATCCTGTCGGCGAGAACGTGGTCGACCGCGTGCATGATGACGGATAGGAAGAGGGCTTCGAGAAGGTCCATCGGGATCTGGTTGTCATGCATGGCCCTGAAGGGGTATGCAAGCAGGAGAACGACGGGAGGGCGAGAATAGCGAGGAAGCATTGGTGAACGGAGCCCAAATCATGCAAGAGCGGGTTTTTCGAAGCATCCTCCCGGAGAAGGTATCAGCGAGAACAATCGGTTCTGTCCCTGCGTAAGGAACGGAACGGTGTCCGATCGTCGAAATATAGAGACGCACGGACACGGAGAACCTGAGAGAAGGTTTCATCAGAAGATCTTGTTGGTGGCTTACTTTCTGTAGCTCAAAAGCATTAAAGCAGCGGAGACGAGCTCGAGCGTGCTGTAGCCGACTGTTGCTGTAGGCGATAGTCACCTCGCATGTGCCACGCTCGGTTACCTGAGCAAAACACGCCTTGCCCCCAACATGAAGTCGGCGAGGGGGAGATCGAGCTCAGTCCAGCGCGCCGTGCGGGCGTGGTCCGCGCCACCCAGAGGGGTCATGTTGAGCGTTTCTGCCACGACAGACTTGTGGCTCGCAGGACAGCCGATGCCCATCCATTTGTTGGTGGTCGTCCTGACATGAGTGTTTGGTTGGATAAGATGCCCTGATTAGGCAGTCAATTTCTTGGGTTTCTTAGGAACAGTCAGGACAATCGCTTCTTGTCATGTGCGAAACGTGAAGCAGATGTCTGAAAGGCGCCATTTTCATTATCAGTTGGGGCGGGGCAAACGGACAACTACATTACGACCGCAAGTGCAAAGGACAACGCAGTCTTCTCAAATTACGCTTCTATTTTCACCTTGGGTACGTCAGAGGGCCGTGGGTGCCTTCCATGAGCGCCGAGTGCAGCCAGGTCGTGGTCCAGGTGGACTCCATCAGCTTGTCCTTGAGAAGCTCATCGGAATATATGCGCTGGACCAGCGAGTTCCCCAAGACGTGGCACTTGGCGTGGGAGCTGCACGTCAAGTACACGTGAAGGAAAGACATCTGGCTGGCCGGGTCGGTAACCTCTTTCCCGTTCACGATGAACGATTGGAAGCGAACCTCCCACTTCGGTTTCCCGTGGCTCGTGTCCGCGTCGCTGCCGCTCCTGCCGCCGCCACTGCTGCTGCTGCTGCTGCTGCTGCTGCGACCGATAGACCGCGTCTTCGTGTAGCTCATGCTCCAGAACTTGATGGGGAAGACGACCCCTTCCTCGTAGGTGCTGCCGGGCTGCCGGGTGACGTGCTCCAGCAGGCATGTCTTCACGTCGATGTAGTAGCGCCGCTCCTCCCGCATCGGCGACGTCGCAGGCTGCTCTTCCTCGCTGGCGTCGGTGCCGGGTGGGAGCCCGTGGCGTAGGAGTGTGATGAGAGATGTACCCTCGATGAGCGCGGCGACGTCGTCCTTGGTCGGCGCGCGCCAGAAGAACGCGCTCCAGACTCCCAGCAGGACAGCGAGGGGCCACCTGATGTAGTACCTGTACGCAGGCATCCCATTTCGAGCACGTTGGTTCGAGCATTTTTTCGATATTTCAGGTATTATCTGGAACAAGGTGCCGAACAAGTCGATACCCTTCATCTCGAAGCGCTTGGCATTGTAGTTGTCTTGAAAGACCGTGGCACAAAATTGTAGGACGCTCGACAATGTTGGCAAACCAAAACAATTGACGAGACAAGAATCTAAGGAGAACCGCCGAAACAACGCTACAGAGAAATGCACATTGTCGAGGGAATATCATAGAAGAATAGTTCATCAACGAAGGAACCTCATCAGAGCGTACTCTGAATCTATTTGCCACAAGGACAAAACATTTCCATACATTAACGTAATTCGCACGGTCAGGTACAAAATCAAAAAATGATGGTGGTTTACAACAACGAGAGCGGACTTCGGAGTTTTTTGTACTTGAGCTTGTCTTGATTTTCCGTCAATGGCAACGAGAAATATTTTGTATATCTAGGCTTTATGATATTCACGTATTATTCTTGATCTATCTGCAGATAGATTCGGAAATAGTGCCGACTACATATCTATTGGTGCGGATTTCGTCGGCTTCAAGTGTGGCCTCATTTGGAGCCTTTTTTTTTCGCCTCGGGTCCGTACTTTGTAGGCTACCGGCCACTACTACAGCGGTAGACTAATAGACGTGTTGGCCCTCCATGGGGTTCTAAACCGGACATCACAAACTTCGCACAAGGTGGTTGTAGTGGTGTCTCACGGGAGCTATGTAGCGGCGAAGGGTCCCTCCTGACCCTTCATCAAGACAATGCCCCCCTCCCGCCCTGACACCTTCTATTCCCTGCATGGAAAAATCGCCCGCTACGGATGCTTCACGCGAGGGATCATAACTACCGCTCTTTTTTCCATCTGTTGAAGCCATCCTTTCAATGTCAAGCTCCTGCACCTTCGGCAGGACCGCAGTTTGAGGACTCACAAAGATTTTTGGAGGCAGAAGTGGGCCAGACGGCGCAGGGTGGATTGGTCGCAGTCGCCGAGCTCGCAATGAATGCCGACGCTGAGGTTGGTCTTGCTTTTCGGGGGCGTGTGCTCCGAACTAGGATCCATTTTTCCTGCGATGGTTGCCGTAGCGGCAGATGAAAAGCGGTGGGAACGACCGTGCGCGTGCTGTCTTAGATCAAGCATTTCATTACTACCAAGACACGAGGTGTTCTGGGCGATACCACACGGTTTCGAGATGCGAGTCTGACGCAGAGGGTGACGACAGCATTTACCAGTCGTTCGCGCGTTAGGTGATGAAGGCATGCCAAGTGTTCGGTTGTTTCGTTTACATTATTGTGCGGCACCAAACGGAGTCGGTCCTGTGGAATGCGTCCCGTTTCTTGAGGTTGAATACCGGTACCATTCTTTCGACATGAAGCCTGAGCGCGTGCCACACAGACCAAACACACTTTTTTCTGCGCCGTGAGGGACGGCCAAGACGGGGTGGGGCGGGAGAACAACGCGGGGCGGTTGTGGCTTCTAATATTGTTTGCCGTTTTGTGAAGAGCGCTTGTCGGCCGGGCTTGATTTTAGCAGGCATCTGCTGGTGGTGTTGCAAGGTACAGCAGCAGCAGCGGTGTGTGATTGCGCGACGACGGGCAGGCACGGTGGTTGCACTATTTGAGCTGTAGACTTTTGGGTGCGTTTTCCCTAATTCTTCTGCCGTAGTCGGCCTTTCATTGAGATCCACTATTATCTTGTGTCCTGACTGCATGCAACCAACAGTAGTGCAGCACCAGCATTCTCTTGCATATCATACCACTACATATTCGCATCCTTCTGCCAACTCTGAGCCTTAAATCTGCTTCCCCATTCCGGCCCCCGCGCCCACCGGGGGCGCGGGGGGCCTTCGTTGACGACCTAGTTTCACTAGACACGCACACGATGAACTAGCTATAGTCTATGTGATTAGACGTTGGCATTTCTCTAGCTCTGACCACACAGACCACTACACGCGGTAGAGGTGACGGGTGAAAATCAATTGAAAAGGAGGAGATAATATTTAACGGTTTCATGAACAGGGGTGCAAGCTGTGCAGATGGTGTTAAAAGAATGCGAAGATCGACTCCAACCAGTTAATCAAAAGAAGCACTTTTTTTTCAGTTGAACGTCATTTCACTCTGTGAATTTCAACCACACGGCATTCGACCCTCGGCGCTTTTATTGGAATGCTGTGAGTTTCTCGAGGGGGGCGCAGATGAACACGCACGGCGGCACCACGTCGCACGTAGATTTCGGGGCAATATGGTAAAACCTCTGGCGGAAAGCTGAAACTCGGGTCGAGTCGACTGAACATAGCCTCGTAAAGGCCGCCGCCACAGAATCGTGAACAGCAACCCCTACATGGCATGCATGAGAAGTACGACGTGCATTCTGGTTGTGCGACGGAAAACCGACTTGCAACGCTAGCCTTTTTGGGTAGGACGCCAAACTCTCTGGGAAAGCGGGAGGGAGGCTGTCGATTCCCCCATCATCACGATGCATGATGAATCTGAGGTAATCATGCGAAATCTTGGGGCTGCATAGTTTCTGGGAAAGCGGGAGGCGGTCGATCCACCATCATCCGTGCGACGACGCATGACTTTCGAGCTGTCACCGTGGGCGCCTAGCCTCGCTAATCCTAAGTGGGTGAGGACGGAGATACCTAGCGAAAACCCCAGGATGGTCCCGTGAAAGGCGGCGGCTGTGGAAAAGGGACAGAGAGGGATAGAAAAGTGCGGTTGGACCACCACGGCGCAATCACAACACGGGCACAACGAGAGCGAGACACCGTACCTCTTTCACCCTGAAGCGATAGCAGAAGAAGCGACCGTAGGAGCGTGAGCGCAAGCACGAACACGAGGACACGGGCAGGGAGGGGGAGGGGGAGGTAGGGAAAGTGGACTGGATACCGAGGGCAGGGGTATGTCTCGTCCAGCAGGTGGTTAGTCTAAAAAAAGTCAGATTGTTAGTGAAAACCGGTAGAACGCCTTCGGAAAGCCGATTTCACTTTCTCCGGAACGGTGCTGGAATCGAGCGAATTCTTCTTAACCACACGACGATGTGTATATCTTGTTCAGTCGCCGTTCGACCTGCTGCGGGAGGGCTCTTTGTTTCGTATCACACAAACCGAACAACAGCAGGCTAATCAGGTATAACGGTCGCCACCGTTTGTGGAGACTTGCCCAGCTTTCCAGTTATGAAGAGCCTTTCGTGCAGTGACCCGGTCTCATGCGCCGGAGATGCCACGTCGCCAGCCACTCCCGCAGCTAACTCGTGTAGAGAAAGACCCACGCGGCCCGTGAGTGCGTTCTCCCTGGAACCGACAGATAGAGAAGGTGGAGGTGGAGCCAGCACACAGACCGGAAGGACGCAAGCAACAGAGCACACGTAGCCATTTGGCTACCCTGGCAGGGTGGACCCTGTCCAGGGTGTCTATAAAAGACCCTGCCGGCGGTGCACCCTGTTGCCGTTCACAAGGTGGGTACCCTGGCAGGGTGGCCAAAAAACCACCCTGCCAGGGTACCCACCTTGTGAACGGCAACAGGGTGCACCGCCGGCAGGGTCTTTTATAGACACCCTGGACAGGGTCCACCCTGCCAGGGTGGCCCGAATTGCACCCTGTAAGCAAACTGCGGCAGAAATTTTGTGTGGTGTGCTGTTTTGCACTCTGTTTTTTCGTGGTTGTCGATGGCTTGTGAGCATACGCCTCCGGGTTAATCGCGAACGATCCCGATTTTCATGCCATGTCGTCGCTCAATCGTACAGCACCAACGCCGACACGATTATCACGCGCATCCTCTGCACAGATCGACTCGGCATCCTGCCAACAGTCATTTCTGCGTCAGGGTCGAATCCACGTAAAGAAGAATGTTCAGAATGTTAAGAGTTTGCCCGATGCTCGTCACAGAACCCAAAAAACATCACGCAAATGCAATGATGGGGCTCACAACCCCAACTTGATTTCCACGCTTTCAACGGAATGTGAATGTGCACGACATGTCCATGACGTGCACCAAGCAAATCAGGACGCATGGTGAGCCACACGCTCGACGAAGATCCAAGAAAGCACGGAGAAGAAAATAATTAGTTCCAACCATAAAAAAATTGCACCGAGATAACCTCGCCTTCGGTGAGGGACGAGGTTATGCACGACTCTTTTTTTGGCGGCATCAGATGGACCGCCGGTAGATGGGAGGAATCTATCCGTGTCAACACCCAGTTGCAGCTGCAGCAGCAGACCTCTCGCTACTTGTGCCGTCTGTGCGTCGCTACTTCTGAACTCACTGTGGTGCGTGGTTCGTGCAAAGAGCGGCCCGCAGGCCCGCAGGACACAAAAGAAGGGGGTACGCGGCAGAAACATTGGGGTACCCCTTTATCGTATATTCTGCTGGGCCCCCGGTACGCAGCGAAACAAGTTTTCTTTGTTGTTGTTGTTGTTGACTTCACATTAAACCGTATGCCAGTTGCTAAATGCCAAAATCTAGCAAAGACTCTCGGCCCGTTGACACGAAAGTGCTGGAGCCATCTGAGGATCTAAAGAACACGCACACGTAGCAAGAAAAAGGTGTACAAGAGCCCGAAGAGGTACTACTACACCTATATATAATCCCTGCAGCACCGTACGCGTGCCCAAAACTGAACTACACGTCCGTCTCACCGTTCGACTACAGCAACATCACCCCCTACCTGTCCCACTCTGTACCAAAACGAATGATTGCCGACTACAGCATACTTGCTGTCTGAAGTGCTGTCTGTACAAAAACACCATGGTAGGCATGGAACAAGAAGCTGGCGGGGCACAAAGCTGCTGTCTGAAGTGCTGTCAGAATGTGTCTGCGGACGTACAGTGAAAAAGAACAA